ACATATCTAAAAGAATTATAGTTAGATTAAGAAACTAAATTCATAGCTTAAATAATTAAAGAACTCATTACTTAATTCCAAATGATACATTAGAGTTTAGTAAAATCGATGACACGAAGATGTATGCTAGTAATAGAGAGTAAAGGCGATACTATTGATTATTAATTTTTTTTTAACAAAATACATGTTTTTATCTTTTAAATAAATGTATTTTTATTATAATTGGTTTGGAGATTGCGGAATAATAATAAATTTATTTTTCCAAATAATTTTGAATCACACTGTATATTCATGCATGTACATGTTCTACAAAAAATTTTGAACAAAAATTATTGTTATGTTTATGAAAAATACCAACATATAGTCGTGCACAAGAGTTTTCTGAAGATTTTCATTATGATAATTGAATTTTAGTACATGTATTCCATTCAATTAAATGTAACAACCATTATTTCGCATATTAATCCAGCAAGTCATAAAAAAAATCAAAAGAAAATCATAGTCTAGTACAAATAACAACAAACGTCAGAATAAAATTTCATATCAATTAGTGAAATAGATATCAAATATATTAAGTTACCAATTTCATCACGTAGTGTAAAACGTAGTTTTAGAGCTTATAACAAAATTTTGATGATGATAAGCAAAATTTTTGTCAAGAATCTTTTCGTGCACTTACGATTATATTTATTAAATTTTCGCGAAATAACGTCCATACACGTTATTTCGAATCACGTTAATTCTGGCCGAAATTCGAAATACATCCCCGTTATTATTCGCGAAAATACGGTATATGTATATGATTATAAATTTCAATTTCGGAATGAGCGAAATTTTTCAAAATTAAAAAAGGGTTTTTTTCAAAATCACAAAAACTTTGTCACAATGAAATTTTTATTCGGCGGACTTCATTTCTGTGAATCTACCAAGCCGTACAATCACGGGGGCTCTTCGAGATCTTTTCCGTGATTCTACTGACGCGTCCGTTATAACATCGATCATCAAATCCAATCTCCTCTTGAATTGCCTGACCTATCTCTTCTTTGGAGTCGCTAGTTCCTATGGTGCATGCATAACATCTAAAACCATCGAATAACTTAGTTTATAAATTGTATATACTTCTTAACTAAGAAGTAAATTCAAAAAATTTAATTCTTGAAATAATAGAATAAGTCTTCTTAACCAGTATTCACGGATTAAATTTTTGAATTTACTTCTGAGTTAAGAAGTTTATACAATTTATAAAATGTAAATGTTGATGGTTTTAGATGTTATGCACCATACTCTATTCCGCAGATTCAGTACATCACAATGTCCAGACTAATGAATCATTCTCATTAGTTGGCATTCATCGGTACATTCTTCTATCAAACCATTTCGCCTCAAAGTGATGCAGTTCGACACGCCCAGGACATCACCTTACTCGCATGCATTTTAACCCGTGCATCACTGGTGTACGTGCATGGTATATGTACATGTAATTACATATTCATATATAGAAATATTAAAGTACAAATATTTGTGTACATGTATGAACATTTCCAATATTAGTTAATAATACAGAACATAATGCACACATATATGAGTGCGTATTTATTGTATGTGTAATGTGCATAGTCGCAGTGATGGTAATGGTCAAAATCCTGACATAGACATGTACATGTACAATCCCAAAATTCATATGCCTGACAACCGATCCCTGAATGAACAAATGGCATCTCAAATGAATGCACGAAATCCCGAAATTTGATATTCCATGCATTTGGGATGCCATTCTTTCAGGATTTCAATCATTATGGATTCATCGTTCAAGATTTTGTTTTTTGGGGTTTATGAATTGATGGGATTGTGTTTGGATTTCGCACGCAGGTCTGTAATGGTATAGAGTCTAGTACGTGATTCCGATTCAAATCCGTTACTTCCACGCAGCATTTTCACAGTATTTTTCAATAAGTTAAAAAATTAACCTTCCTTTCAATTCCGAACTAACTTTAGCATAATACATGTACATTTAAAAAAAGATCCAATAGATATCATAATCGATTTTCTTTTTACATGTTTATATACATAAAAGGATTATATTTCTGTATTTATTATAATATAAAAACCTTATTTTTTAAAAACAATTCTATGCATCCACTATCTTATTTATACAACAATAAGGATGCAAAAGCTATTATTAAAATTCGATACACAAAAGTCCGATTTTCAAAAAAAACACTGATTTGACAAATTTCATATTTAAGAATTAGCATGTACACATATCGCACATGTACAAGAGAAATTTTTTTTCGAGAATCCTTTGTTCCCAATCAGGAAAAATCTTGTCAAACTTCGCTAACACTAATACAGCTTTTTCGCCAGATGATCTGAAAAGTCAATCACATGTTGTCGAAAGAAACATTTGATGTTTAAGTACATATATGCGTATAAAAATTTCGAAGGCTTGCTTTGCCCAGTTGAACCAAATAATTACATGTAACTATTTGCTAAAAATTAGGTATTTTTAATGCTTCAGAACACACATTAACAAACCTTCGATAGTCAGGTCATTTACAGAAAAAGTAGGAAGGTCATTTTTTGCAACAAACAAGTGAATAGTCATACAAGAGACCAAAAAATCTGCTCGTCTCCACTGCAACCGACTACGATGCATTTAAAAAAAATTTCATTACGTAACCAAATACATGTAACTATTTTGAGTTAGTTTAACTTTGAGATCTAGAATTTTTTTCAAGTTAAATTAGCGTTTTTCTCGATCGATTAATCAGTAGAACCAATGTAAAGGGAATTTAAGTCTATAAATATGAAAAAATTTTCCTACTTGTAGATATATATTTTCAATTATTTATATTCTACGAAACTTTCAATAGAATTATTCGAACTATTCATTCGTATTAAAAACAAAAATACATGCACATAACAATGTCATTTTATTCTATTTGGTACGAACGAAATGTATGCAAGAAAGTCGTCAAAAAGAAGTCACAAAAAATATACTCCAAAATATTGCCAGGCGAATTACGTGATGCAGCGCCTGTAGATTTCACGGCTGCGCAGGTCACAGTACACGCAAAAAGAGACTGTCTCGTCTATAACCTGGAATTCAAAGCACGAGAATCCATTCCATCAAATGTTTCGTTGACAAATCCCACAAGTCGCAGGTTTCGAAAAGCAAGTTATAACGATAACAGTCGATCAACGCTCGATTTGTCTACCGAAGTTACGATTCCGTCGATTTCTTCGTTTCAGAGACGAAAACATAAGAGAACTTATAATAACATTGAGTCAGATGCCCTGTCCACAATATCAGCAAATAGTCAACTGACGAATGACACTTTGTGGGATGGCTGGATTGTGAAATTTATTAATTACAAGGAAAATAATGTTGACGATGGATTATTGGAAGACTGGATTTTTTGATGGGTTTTTAGCGTTAGTGCGCATATAAAAATAGAATAGGTATTTTTAAATAAATGTACATGACGTGTCGTGTGTACATGTACACATTGTAATTTAAAGATTGCTATTGGTTACTATTACTGATAAATGGAGTAAACGATGCTATAACTATTGTCGCTATTTTACATGAACTATCGTTATCATTCTCTTCTATAATAATAATAATCATTCCTTTTTAACATTATAATAAATTCAACATAAAATGTCCAAATTCACACAAACACTTATCAGCGATTTATCCCAACTCCTAAAATGTGCAGATGACTACGATGTACTTTTATGTATTGGCGACGAAAAAGCAGCATCGTCATCATCATCAAAATTTTCATCAACTTATGCAGTTTTTTATGCACATTCTTTTCTTCTGCGCATACGAAATCCGTATTTTCGACGGGCGTTATCGAAAGAATGGGCACATACGGAAGAAAACGGGATGATAATTTTCAAAAAAACTAACATCATGCCGAATACTTTTGAGATTTTGTTAAAGTAAAATGTTATTTAATAAAGCTCGATTAAAATTAAATTTGATTTTTTAATTAGATATGTTATTCTTTAAAGGTTTTTATACACAGGTATTATAGTAAACCTAGAAGAACTAGATAACCAAGAAATAATGAACTTAATACATGCATCTGACGAACTCCAAATTCAAGAAATACTTCAACATTGCAAAACTTTCCTACTCGAAAATCATAGCGCATGGCTTCAACAAAACTTACTTAAAGTGTCGAAACTGTTTTCAAATAACAAACAATTCACTGAGCTATACGATAAAGTGTTTCACATCGAACCAGAAAAAATTTTGACATGTCCGGAAATAGAGGTATTGGAAGAAAGTGAAATGATTTCGCTTCTCAAACGAGGATCCGATCTTGAATTGAAACAAGTGGAAATTTGGAATTCTATGATAAAATGGGGTATTTCGAAAGCTGGACAGTTGAATATTGATATTTCTGAATGGACTACAGAAAATTTTGGCGAATTGAAAGAATCTCTTAAAAATTGTCTTTCGTTAATTAATTATTTTAAGATGTCAAGAGATGAGTACGTTTTAAAAGTTGTTCCTTACGAACAGATTCTTCCACAAAAGCTCAAAAAGCAACTTCTAGAATTCCATTTAAATCAAGTGAATAATTTACCAATTGAAAATCTTCAGTTTCAAACAATATTGAAATCACGAGAAGCACGTCTTATTTCATATTGGATAAATCAAAAAGATCCACAATCTCGACCAATAGAACATCGATTCAATCTCATATTCAAGGCAAATAGAGATGGTTTCGCTAATTCAAGATTCCTTCAAAAATGTGCCAATATTTACCCAACAATAGTGCTAATTAATGTCCACGGATCCAAAAGAATAATTGGTGGCTACAACCCCACATACTGGGCCGAAGGACCCTTCTATTCAAAAACACGAAAAACATCAAACTGGAATTGGAAAGTACCACTATTCGGTCGTCGACAATCCGAAGATGAAAGCAATCTTCCCTACCAAGAAAATTATTCCATCGAATGTAACGTCTCAAAAAACAGCTTTCTCTTTTCGTTTCCTGAAAATGCCATAAACCTCATTCAGGATTCGGTAATTTCGCATGTCGTCGATGACGATTTTTGGGAGTTTGCGGAGGAATCTTTATATGGAATAAGGTTTTGCAATGATTTGGTGATTGGAGATAACTGTAATCAGAACATAAACAGTTTTTATCAGTGTCAAAGTTATGATGAGACTTTAGATAAAGTTTTGGAAGGTGAACGTTTTTTGGTAGATGATTACGAAGTTTACCATGTTGAGAGAAAGTATTAGATTCTTGTCATGTATTTTTTTTTGAGACGAACAATTTGGGGCTGAAATTCATGTAATATTTAAAGATATATAACTTTATATAACTCTAACCCCAACCAGGCGTAGAGTTTTTTGAATAGTTGATTAATAGTGTGATTACCCATTATCATGAATATTTCATTGTCGTTATTGATTACGATGCTAAAAGAAACTCATCACCGTGGAACACTGCCAAGGGTCTTAAACATGTGCATCCACGCATAAAATTAATTAATAAAAAAACTACATGTATTAGTAAAGGTGGGCTGCGAGTATTTTTGTCAGAAATGTTCTACAATATAAGTCAAGTGTTAGACCTTTGCTTTTTTCGTGGCTTGCTGTTGTTTCCTAAATGCTTTACACACGCTTGCAATGAATAGAACCAGATGAAACCCTTCCGGCGTCAACTCATCGTTACGAAGCTTCGACAGAGTCATTTATGTATGACTCTCGAATCTTACTTGCAATGGCATGTTTATTTGAAAAATCTAAGATAAGGTTTTTATAGAAATGCGGGATAATTTGCTAGACACGTGCTTTCCTATTTATTAAATGCAAAACAAAGCTCCATACTAAGCTAAAACTGTGTCAATTGTCTTAACAAGAAAAATGCGTTTATTCTGAAATGTTAGAAAACTAGCAACGGTTCTTATCGTTATCGTTATTTCTATGAAAGGTAATTATGACCACCAATCCAATCAATAACGATAAAGCTAAAAATCTATCGCAATTCATAACGATAATAATAACGATAATTGAATTGTTTACCGAAAAATTTGTACATATTGAGCGCATTTTTGTATAGTGACGTTATTAAATTTTCTGTACAGTCGAGATATCTAATAAAGCTGCATCGTTTAGAATATATACAGTAAATTGACGCTAAACATATGAATAATAATCTGAGTGTCAAATATATTTATATCTCGAAATAGAGTGTACCTTTATCAATTGGAATTTAAAATAATTTTAAAGACTCGACCACGTTATTCCCTTTTATTTTTTAATACACCCTGACAAAAGTATCTAAGACAAAGATAATTAAACGCGATTTATAGCACAACCAATGATCAAATTTTGTACATGTAATTATTTTTTTTATTAGAACCCCAAATTCTAAGCTTTCAGATTATATATATATTTTTTTATAAAAATTGGACCATTAGAAATTCTGTAATTTCCATTTGAATAAAATTAATAAATTTTATATTTGTTACATTAACTTTAAATATAAAATTTATATGATTATTCTCTTAAATAATAGTATTCTTATTTAAACTTTTAAAGAATGATATTATTTTTATTTGAACTGTAGACCAAAAAAATGTATTTCAAACTTTAAAGAAAAAACTCATCTCTGCTCTAATCTTAATTTATTCTAACTTAATAAAAAAATTCTATTTATATACTGATATTTCTAATTCTGGACTTGATATAATATTATCACAAAAGAATGATAAAGAAAAAGAATAAGTAATAGCATATGCAAGTATTTTACTCAAATCAGCAGGAAAAAATTATAGTATTACTGAAAAAGAAGCTCTGACATAATTTGAACTATTAAATAATTTCAATATTATCTTCTCAAATTACTTTTTAAAATCATTACTATCATATGATAACTATTTACTAAACAAATTAATCCTAGATCTAGCATCTCTTACTAGATAATGATCATAATAGAATACAACTTTATTGTTATTTATTAAGTTAAAAAAAACTAATCAAAATATAAATACTCTTTCAAGAATATATTCTCAAGAATAAAAAAGATAAATTTATCTAATTAATATATTATTTGAGATAGATAACTAATTAAATAGATTATTTAAATCTGATCAATTTAATATAATAGATTTAACTATATATTATAACTTAATAAGATATTTAGAAAATAAAAGTTACTTTATAATATATATGGAAGAATAATAAAAGAAAATTAGTTAATAATTAAAATACTTTTTAATAATTAATAAACTACTTTATAAGAAGAATAAAAAAAAGAAATCTATTATATTATTTCAAGTATTAAAAGAAAATGAAATTAAAATTATAATAATTAGTATATATTCAGATTTACTTGTTGAATATTTTGAATTTGATGGAATCTATTAATGAATTATTATAAAAATATTGATAAAATAGAATAGAAATAAATATAAAGAACTTTATTAGATCTTGTAAAACTTGTCAAAGAACTGATAAATGAATTATAAAACAATCTCTATATTCTATTAAAGTTAAATGGTCTTTTGAGAAAATTATAATTGATCTAGTTGAATCTTACAAAATAACTAGAAAATAAAATTAATATATTATTATAATAATTAATCTATTAACTAAATAGTCTGAAGCAAAAATAATTCTAAATAAAGAAACTAATATTATTACTAAATTTATTTTTAAAAAAATAATTTATAAATATACATATCTAAAAGAATTATAGTTAGATTAAGAAACTAAATTCATAGCTTAAATAATTAAAGAACTCATTACTTAATTTAAAATTAAATACAAGTTTTTATTATTATATTATTTACAAATTTATAGAATAATAGAATAATTTAATAGAACTTTATGTAAAATATTTTAAAAATATTATATTATATTACATAAATAATAAGAGATATATATATATCAATAATATTATTTGCATACAAAACACTTTGAAATAATATTATAAAATATAAACTATTCTTTCTAACTTATAAAAGAAAAGCTTATTTATCTATTAATTTGAAATACTTATTAACAATCAAATAAAATAATAATAAAGAAAATGAAATATTAAATCAAATATTCTCTCTTATTTACTATTTATTTAATAATATTAATATAGTATAAAATCAAATTCAAAGATAATAATAATAATTAAAAAAAAATATAACTCAAAATTATAAAGAATTATATAATTCTAGTATATAATATAAAATAATATATTACTTATGAAAATAAATTTCAGCTATAATAAAATACAAAATAATTTTATATTTATGAAATTCTTGATAATAAAGCTTATAAATTATATAATTAATATAACTAACTATTATATAAAACTTTTAATAATGCTTAACTAAAATATTACTTTAACAGAAATAATTATTTCAAGTCAAGAATAATTATTGAATATATATAAATATTAATAACTGAAGAAGAAATGAAAAATAAAATTTTAGTTATATAATATTTATTTATTTATCTCTTAATATTATACAAATCTAAAATAGTTATATATATAAATCTTTTTATTAAAAATTTAATTTTATAAATACTAAATATTTTCTTTGATACTTTTTATTATTTTTACTATTTTCTTATAATTTATCTTTTTATTAGTTAATAGATCTCTTATAATAAATACTTTTTTTAATAATTATAATTTAATTCAAAATATTCTTGCTTTTTATTAATAATTAAAGAATAATAAATTTTATAAATTTCTTTAACTTAATAAAAATCTTTTAATACTTAAAGATAATAATCAGAAAATTACCTATAATTTTAATATTAAAAGATAATTAAACTTCAGTTTAATTTTGAAAATATTTTAAGAATCAATACAAGTAGTAAAAAAAATTTTAGCTTAATTAAACAAATTATAAGATAGTAAATAAGTAAAATAAATTATGAAAATTATCAATACTAAAATTTCAAGAATAGTAATATTAATTAATATTAATTATCAATTTCTATCTGATCAAAACTGAAAGATAAAAGTTCAAATTATCTTTAATAATTTATTTAAAAATAGAAATAATTAATTTGATAAAATATAATTTATAAGATATTATTATTTTAAATAATTATTAAAAGAAATTTCAAGATAGTACTCTTAAAAATATAGATATTATAATAAAAATTAGCTTAATTAAAAGAAATTACTTTGATCTGAAGATATTTTTTTTCTGAAAATGAATTTACTATTTATTAGAAAAATATAAACTTAGAAAGATTTATAATTTTTAATAATTTATATAATTTATATATTATAATTTATATTATATAAATTAAAAAAATTTATTAGAAGAATTTAATCAGCTTTACTAAAGCTTGATCTTACTTAAAGAAATCAAATATTACTATAATAAAATAAAATTTTTTTAATTTTATAATTTTTAAATTTCAGATTTTTGATTAATTAATTATTTTTTAGAAAATATATTATTTAAAATAATTTAATTAGTATATCAATTAAATATTTTAGTTATAATTCAGTTTTAATTTAATAATACTTCAGAATTATAAATATATAATTAATTTAAAATTAATTACAATTCAAAAATAGTTCAGTCACACTTCAAAAATAATTTAGAATAATTTATTGCTTGATTTTTATTTTATATAGTAATTTTTTAAAAGATTTTTTTTCTAATTATATTAGTACTCTTTTTTTCACTCAGTTTTATTTCTTTAATCATATAAAGTTGATTTTAATTTAAATTATAAAATTTTATTGATTTTTGATATTATTTTGAGAGTAAAAGATCTCTATTATAAATAAGCCATACTTTTATTTTATTTATTTATTATTTTTAAGAGTAGAAGATCTCTATTATAAATAAATTATATTCTTTTTGATTAGTTATTTTGTTATTTAGTTTAGTTTTTATCTTTTTTTTTAGTTATAGTCTTCTTTAATTAATAATAATTTTATTATTTAATTACTTTAAATTCTGAATTATATCAATTATTAGTAACTTTACTATTTGATCTTTATAATTTTCTTGATTTATTTTATTTTTTTATTATTTATTTATTCTTTATTAAAGATAATATCTGTAAATATTAATACAGATCTTAGAAATATTTGTTATTATTAAAAGTATAGTCTAATTTCTCTTTCTTTATCTTTTAATTAATTCAGTCTTTCCTAATCCAATATTATTAAGATAAATTTAAGTAAAAATTCACTTATCAGATTTGCTGTAATAGTAATATTATAAACTATACTCTGGAAGATAGGTTTTATCATGAATATAGTT